AGAGTTGCGAAATCACCTAAATTAAACCTAGATAGGATTCCAACACAATCTCCCAACCACACGAGGAAGGCGAGATCTTCAATGGCAACTCCGCAACGTTATCTCCACCAAAACCTAGATCTCCAAGATCCAAGCTTCCAATACTGAGTTTTCCTCCACCCAAATCAAACCCTAGATCTGAAATCCAGCTCTGATACCACTTGTTGCACCCAACGAAAGCGTGCACAATCCATGATGAGTTAGTAAGCAACACGATAAGAACACCACAAGCACAATTCAAAAAAGAATGACCAAAACCAATCACAAACACAAAGAATTTATGTGGTTCAGAATGTTGCCTATGTCTACGGGGAGAAGATGTGGAGATTTTACTATATGGAGGAGAAAACAATGAGTTACAACTCTCTCAAACACTCAAAATAACTCTAATCAAAAGGTCTCACTCCCTCACAATAATCTCCCTCTCAAAGTGATCAAAATAACCTTTTTTCTCTATTAAATCTCTCACTCTAAAACCTAGAAATTGGTCCCCAGACTTTAATTTTTTTTAATTTAGTCTTTGTACCACACATTTATTTCAAACTAAGTCCTTTTTAACATTATTTAAATATTGAATGTTAATATGACCAGGTTGTATTTGGTATGAGATGCAAGCCTAACAAGGAGTGGGTTGGGTGTGTGTGTGTAAATAGATTTGCTATCATGTTTCACAAAAAACACAAATATGCAGGGGAAAAGATAAAATAAAAGTAATCAACAACAAGCAAATACAAACAGCAACTAACCAGTAAGACACAAGATTGTTAATAAATTTGACAGGTTTAGTAATTTAAATTCTCTGATCTTTGATATTTTACAGAAACACTCTTAGAAGGATAATAAAAAGTTTCTAAGACAGTCTCTCAAATTTTCAATGCTATCACTACCACATATTTGCTCTAACGCAACGGTTCAAAACCGTTGCGCTAGCCATGGAACCGTCGCCCTTGAGCAAGTGCAACGGTTCTCAACCCGCCTCATATGCTGCCGTTGCCCTACCTCTACCGTAACGGTTTTGAACTCTATTGCGACGGTTTTTTGAACCGTTGCCCCCGCATCTAACGCAACGGTTTTAAAAGGCAAACGGTTTTTAAGCCATTGCAACGGTTTTGATTGAGCTATTGCGACGGTTTCTAAGCTATTGCAGCGGTTTTGATTGAGCTATTGCGACTGTTTTCAAACTACTGCAGCGGTTTTTTTTAGCTATTACAACAGTTTTAAAAGACCTAACGCAACAGTTTGGATTGAGCTATCGCAACAGTTTTGATTGAGCTATTGCAGCGTTTTTGATTGAGCTATTGCAACGGCTCCGATTGAGTTGTTCTTGGTTCCCTACGTCAAAATCATATAGTATTCAATTATCTGGACAATCTTTTTAAGAACATGGCCCAAATCAAATTTAAATACACAATATCAAAGTGAAAATGTTGAGCATAATCAACCATAATGATAAGTGCCAACATACATCGGTATAGTATAAAAACTACAAAATATAAAATCCACACTACCAACATTTCAGCTCAGAAAATATCGTACCGAACTAATATTCAAACAACATCAACATTTGATTACAAAACATGAAACTTCTCGGTCAAAGACTTTATATCCTCTATTTGTTTCCAAAAACTTATGCCTCAATGTTAAATACTCACTAGGAACCTGTCAGCCTCAATCGCCAATTTCGCCAATTTCACTAGGAACCTGTCAAATACTCACTAGGAACCTGCAATTTAGGGAAGTAATTGATTTATTAATATAAGTGTAAACTTACATAACAAAATCAGAGAATTTCAATAAGAATTGTTACTTACAAGCAACAAGTAAAAGAGTGCTTATATAACCTTGATTTGCCCATTTGTACCAGTAGCAGCTGCAACTAGCCCTGAACCCCCCTTGGGTAATCGAGAATAAAGTTTTGTTGCATATGCTTTGAGGATTCTTTTAAACACCTGATCATGTAAATGATATCAGATTATATTAAAAGCTACCACGTAGAAAATATTCTGAATGGATCACAAATAACATGCTAAAAAAGTTCATAGCACAAAGACCTGCTGTACTCGAACAATGGATTTGTCCTTTTACAAAAACATACCATAATTGGACATCAGACTCAACAAAAGTGCCCCATAACAATAAAAGCTTATAAAAACCAAGAACAATCACCTGCATAGCAACGCGCTTCTCACCATAAACGGATTCACCGACAACCATGTTCTTGGTACAAAGGGCATCTTCCTTCCCCTTGGCAACAAAGACTCCATCATGCCAATGCGGCTGAACCACTACTTCGCTTCCTCCCTTTCATTCCACCTCCACAGCCACCACCGCGACCTCCACCACGCCCTCTTCCACCACCACCTCGACCAGCACCGCGTCCTCTTCCACCACCACCCCGGCCTTCAGGACCACCTCGGCCTCTACCTCATCTTCCTCGGCCTCTGCCACCATCACTCCGGCCCCTGAATCCACTACATTGAAAGTTCAAGGGGGAAATGTATGTAGAACTATTAAGATGCGTCTGAAATTGCACAAAGGACAAGAAGAAAAAAAACACTCTTTGAAACACTTTGATAGATCAAGTACGCAAAAGTCAAAGGTGATAATTATACAGACACACAATGATTTATGGGGCAAGTAAAAAAAAATTCTTTTAGCATTGATATAGCAAGGTGTAAAGAACATATCCGACAAGATGCTACCTTTTTCCCCTCAAATTCACAAAAAGCCCAAAGAGTTATCTGAAACAACTCGAGGGATAAACCCTAAAACCTACCATAATTGAACAGTTCGTACAACATGTGCTTGAATAATACTTGGCAGATACCATAAGCTTCCTTTTGAGCAACTACATAGTTCATTCAGATCAAGAGAATTGTTTGACATTAGATTTATATTTTATTTCACAGACCTAATATATTATGATTCATAATACTCTTTCAACTCTGATTATTAGTTATTCAAATGCAAGATAATATATAGGCAAAAAATAGATGAAGCTATTTTATCCAGTCATAAAAGAGTAGACCTTGAAAGTTTGTTTACATGATATACTAAAGTTTGTTTACATGTTAAACAACAATCTGGACACTATAAACTCTACACATTCCCTCTATAACTTAAGATAAACCAATTTGCATGTGCACATACAATGATTCACATGCTAACCAGTGAACTCATATTTTCTAATTCAACATCAATCATATGTTTTCATGCAAAACTGAGATGCAGTTTTGATACAAACGAGAAGATCGGTTTTTACCTGTGTTTGAAGAACAACCTACTTAACTACCTAAGGAGAACTCCAATCCATGAAACAAATATATGTGAGCAATCCGGAAAATAAACATATTCATTGAAATAATAAACTATCATAAACAAGCATAATTTGAACCAGTTCACAGAAGATAACATTTTTTTGACTTTACCTCTTGTTTTCAAGAAATAGCATGTTTGTATTCAATGTCCCGGAACAAATTCTACAGCCTTCCAACGATCTATACATCTCAAGAAAAAACTCACATCTAGTGAAAAAACACAAAGAAATTACTAACAAATTGTGTTTAGACTCAGGCAAATGTGATACTATCAGACTTCTGCAAGATACAAAAACAAGAAAACTCATTATCGATTTATAGGGTGCAATGTTCAAGCGTAAGTCAACAACCGATCTGAAGCCAACCTGATGCAACAAGATGATGGTGAAATTCCTTTCATGCCTATATACTTGCGAGGCACTTAAGAGCAAGTAATGACCATGACCAAAAATAGCTGGAACCATTTTTTTTTCTCCAAGTAACTCAGTTGCGTTAACTACGTAATTACAATTTGACTTGGAAGATAATCTGTCCTGAATCCTGATATAATTGCATGACACGAGTCAAAGGGCCATTAATAAAAAAGGCGGTTTCTTTTTCCTAACAAAGAAACTTTATCTTCTTCATCTGATTCTCAGGAAAATACAGGAGGACTATGTTATAGTTCTTTCATTATGACCCTTGTCCACTTTTAGAATTTCAGATACTGGTCGAAGCACCCGCTGACTTATTTATGAATTTCAACCTAATTTGAAAAATATTTATTATTTTTCTATTGATAGACTTCTTTCTCAATTATCTCAAAGAAAATTCTCTAAAAACCTTCTCCCAATTTCCATAAATTTTGTTAAGAGTTGAACGATAATAACAGGAAGGATGAAGGATAATTCTCCAGTTCCACTTCTATTCTAGGTCATAATTAATTTCTGACTTTTTCTTTTCATTCACCAAACAAAATAAAATAAAACATGCTGAGACAAAAGGGAAAAAATATTTAGAAGATGAGAATCCCAAACAATTTAGGATTGAGAATTCTAGATTTGAAATTACCTCAAATGATCTCTTCTCTTTTGAACTTGATCTAGAATCACCCACTGCTTCCCTCACTTAAAGAGACGTGATTAACTAGTAATAAATAAAAAGAATCACATAAGTACTAGATACATGAAAAATAAAGCGTGACATTTGCTTCTACAAAGAACGCCAGTCAGAAGCACAACCATCAAGAACAGCTGAAGAACCCAAAAAAATTTAAAAAAAAGGGAGGGGGGAGGGGGTTACTCATGTATTATCACCCAATTGTAGATGGACCCCCTACAGTTCTATTATTGCATATAGACCCCAGAGAAATTTTATTGGACAGTTTACTCACATAAGAAATTTGATTTTCTGACAAATAGACCTCCTGACGGGAAAAGAGTCAAAAAGATCACTCGGGGAGTCTATCTGCCACAATAGAACTCCGGGGGTCTATCCCCAATTGGGAATAGTACAAGGGGAATATCTATTGAGAATTCTAGATTTGAATTTACCTCAAATGATCTCTTCTCTTTTGAACTTGATCTAGAATCACCCACTGTTTCCATCGCTCAAAGAGAAGTGATTAACTAGTAATAAATGAAAAGAATCACATAAGTACTAGATACATGAAAAATAGATAATAAAAACTAGCTAAGAGAAGAATAATATAGATCACTTGTTTAAGTAGCTACCATTGCAGTATTAACAAGTTATGAATAGTGATAACGAGGATGCATTTGTCAAAGTAAAACATGTATAAACTGAAGTCACTATAGGTTAACAAGATCATAAATTCATCTATGTCACTATAGGTTAACAGTGTGCTAATGTTGAATTAAAGCAGTAGAAGTCTATGCCAATATCTACATGGAGGTTTGACTTGTGTCAAGGCAACAAAGACTACAGAACAGATTATCATTTGGATAATTAATATAAACTGTGTGTTCAAACACACACGAGGTATAAATCACACAAAAAAGAAAAATAAGCTCTGCAGGGTCTGACCAAAATTTTGGTTACACATCTATGGAAAAATTATATAACATAGTACATTGGTTTTGCTAGACACCAAATATGAATATATTAGTTAATATTCAGTAAGTCGGCTTCCTCTGCTACTAAACCCCGTACAATGATCAAAACATACATCCAAAATCAATTGTAAATGTATATATGTTCATCAGCCTATCTATATCTTTCATCTGAATACACTTCATACCTGTTTCACTAGAAAACCTTAAATCCATCTCCTAAAAACTGCAACCCACTGAGAAATCTTAGTAATAGCCTTAGCATTCATTTATCGCTAGAAGAACATTTTAAGAGTGCAAGCATCAGAAATGATATTAATACCAAGTTTAAAGAGGAGTACAAATAGTAAATAGTCAATGACTTTCTTGAGAAAAACTGCAACCCAATCTTCATTTTATCAGTTTGTTGTTCATTAGCCAAATTAAACATACTGACACTTTTACTACCTAAGCCCCACGCTACGGAGAAAAATCAGAATCTGGGTGCAATATATGTACAACAAACTGTAAATAGTTTGGACACTTTCTATTTGACAATCACTAGAAAGTAATGAGGGCTTTCAGTACAACAAACTGTAAATAGTTTGGACACTTTCTATTTGACAATCACTAGAAAGTAATGAGGGCTTTCAGTTTTGGGTGTGCATAAATTACGCAAAAAAAAAATTAAAGAAAACCGCAAGCTTTTATACAAATTATAAGGAAGTTGAGGGGAGCGAAAGAAGATAGTACAATCACGTGCTCTAAAAGAAAGCAGAAGTTTTGGGTCAAGAGAGCTTAAAAAAAAAGAAGAGAGGTTTCAAGCAATCAGGATTCAAATTAGTAATGAAGTTGAGGATTAGAAAAGGTGATGACCAGCAAATAAATCACCCATTTTCAAAACCCAAAACCCAATCCATATTCGCATGTCGAAAATCAATACAAAATTTACATAAAGAAGAAAAATTCAAATACATTAATGGCTATGAAATCAAGAAAGGCAAATTAAAGAGAATGAACCAACAATCCATTGGCGAGGCGAAGGACGACGGTGCCCACAAGCGCATAGGCTGCCAGCTCTGTAGGACCGATATGACCGATAAATGCCTGGCTTATAACGCCGACGCCGAACGTCGAAAAGCGAGTAAAGATTGGTGGAGCTGCAACTACCCATAACTTCTTGTTCTCATCCGCAAGCTTCTCCCTCAAGTTGATCTCCGCGTTGTTCTCTCCTTGCTCCTCTCTCTCTCTAGAGTACTGAAGAAGCTTGGCGCTGAGATTATCATCTCCCATTATTTTTCTCTCTCTCCTAGCTCGACAACGAAACCAACGGCGACGAGATCGGAGAGATCGGAGAGGAGCTTGGAGATGAGATCCGATCCGAAAACAGCGACGAGATCTTGGCCACGGCGATTTTAGGGATCGAAAAATTTTGGAGACGATTTTAGGGATTTAGGGATTTCATTTGAGAGAGAGAGAGAGAGATTTGGTTGCGGTCAGACTGACCGGGCTTTACAAACTCAACTCCTAAACCCACTAACAAATATTAAGTCCATGAACAATTATTTGACTTATGGCAACGTTTTTTATTAAATGTTATATTAGTTACTGTAAACCGTTACGATAGATATCTAACGCAACAGTTAGAACCGTTGCGCCTTAACCGCTGCAATAGATCAATTATGTGGTAGTGTATGATATAAATTTGTATTACTTTTTTAATCGGCCACACTCTGTTTAGGAAGTCAATGTTACCCTTACCGATTTTTAGCTTATGCATAAGAATAATACCATCCTCATTAGAGAACTATAATCCTTAGAATCCTCAGGTTAAATGATTTACGATGCACACCTTACTGACATTTGCTAACAGAATATAACATTAATAATGCATTTATGAATATACTCCCTTTAAAAGCACGAGTTCAGAAAAAACTTTTCATGGTCAATATTACCCTTCACTATTTTGAATATTTTATTTAAATCTTAATCTATTCAAATTGTAATCATATCTAATCTAATTCCATATGAACTATCTATAGCTCAACAATTTAAAAAAAAGTTATTATGAATATTTATTTAAATCTTAATCTATCTAAATACTAATTATATCCTATGTTAACGCCATCTGAACTACCTATAGCTCAATAATTTAGAAAAAATAAGATTAAGAAATTACACATAGATAACATAATATAATACATAAAGTATTACCAAAAACCCAAAAGTTTTAAAAATTGCATATAATAGCCTGAAAAGTTTAAAATTACAGAAAACATCTTAACTTTTTAAAACATAAAAATCAAAAAATTTAAAATTTGTAATTAACACCCTCAACATTTTAAATATTGTAGAAACAACCTCAAAAGTTTAAATTATAAGAAAACACCCTAAAATTTAGAGATTTCAAAAATTGAAAACAACATAGATGGATTATAGGGATAACCATTAGGCACTTAAAAATTTAAAATTTATGCAATATAACCTTAAAGTTAAAAAATTACAAAAGCTTCCTCAATAGTAAAAATTACAAATCCTAAAATTTCAAAACTTACAACCGATACATGTCAAATTTATCAACAGATCATTGAAATTTTAAATTTTTCAAAAAACAACCCAAAATTTTAGTAATCATAAAAATACCTTCAAAATTTCAAGGTTACAAAAAACATTCTAACATTTGAAAACTTAAAACTAACACATCAAACATCAAATTTATAACTACGCAACTTAAAATTTAATTTTTTATAAAGTACTATCAAAATTTAAAAATTACAAAACACACCCTCAAAAACTCAAAATCACAAAATGTTGAAATTTAGCAAAGAAAAGAGGAAATGTTTGATATTATTATATTAAGATATATAAATTTAACTTTTAATTTAAAAATTTATCATTCTTTTTCAGTATCTAAAAGTAGTCTAAATTGATGCCAGTAAAAAATAACAATTATAGTAGAATAAAACTATCTAGTTAGGGAATAAGAATTTAGAAATATATGATAGACTAAAAATTAACATTACTATATAAATTTAAGAAACTACACATAATTTTACTAATAACATTCATTGATAGAAGACAAACTAATAAAAGTATATAATATAATAGGTTAGCATTAATTATTTATAATGTATAAACATGTATCTCTAATGTTGATAATATTTATAGGATATAAAAATACAAGGAGTTATGTATGAAGAAACTATCAGAAAGTTCAGAGATATCCTTTAAAAGAACTAAGTTTTTTTCTTTTCAAATAAAGAAGTGAAGAAAATAAACTCAAAATTCAAAAACAATCATAAATCACCTGAATTGACATTGAAAAAAGGTTTATCTTGCAAAGAAACACTAAACGAGTTTTCCTTGAAGAACATATTGAACAATTTTTTCCTAATTAAAAAATTATTTAGAACATATTGAACAATTTTGTATTAATTAAAAAAGCATTCTTCATGAAAGAAACAAGAAAAATTAGTAAGTACTTATAAATTTTCATACTTTATTCTTGAAATACTAAAGGAATCTAAACTAAATATAAAATTTACATATAAATAATATTATAGTAGAAACTAAGGTGAAGCCATTGATCAAATATGTTACGAGATATAATAAGCTAGATAAGATGAGGAAAATCACTATAATGAACAAAAAGTATGCATATGATGCTTAGTTACCATAGCGTAAGTAAAAAAATTTAAAATTGATGTTTTTCTTCTATATAGTTGCACAACTCTACAAGTAACCTTTGTTCGCGGAAAAAACCGTTGCTTTCTTCATTAATGATTCCATTGTACACTCTTGTAACAGATTATCGATTACAAAGATCCGGTCTTTTTATAAGATCCGGTTACAACGAAAATCAAATAAAAAGAAATGAAAAATTACAACTTTGTTTCCTTGTTTGTCGAACGAATCACGAGCTCCTGTTTTGCGGTCGCTCGCTTGTATGGGTTCTTTGCCTGCGCCGGGGTTGTTTGCCGTGGACCACCGCGCGATCTAGATCCAGTCGGATCTACGCAGTACGACGGGTATTATTCCACGAAGGAAATAATAGCCGGGAGGGATTGATTCACCAAGGAAACAATCGCTCAAGTCTCGGGATCTAAGACCAAGCTTAGATCCGGAGTTCGTACGCGTAGATCTGAGATCTGGTCCTCTCGAATACCTGCCTTATTTGGCGTTGACGGTCGCCGAGCACCAGATCTGGATGAGCAAGTCCTTGAAGTCCTAAAGTTTGAATCTTGTTAAGTTCTGAGTCTCCAATCCAGCAGGGCTTCGCTAAAATGAACAACCCCCTCTCCTATTTATAGCCAAGCGTCACTGTGCCCGTGTGCACGTGTGGCCGACCCCCTAGGTGGCCGGCCACCTCAAGGTGGCTCGGCTCATGCCGAGCCACCCTGAGGTGGCTCGGCCACCCCAAGGGGTGGCTCGGCCTTGGCCGAGCCACC